AAGCTAGGCACTCAAGGGCAGAAGCAAACTAGATAAACTTAGGATACTTTTGTGCCTCACCTTGTGCCTTGCACCTTGGGTGAAAATTGCCCCTTTTGTTTTTTTTTTTTTTTTTTTTTTGCGCCTTGCACTTTTAAAACACTGCCATAAAAATAAAAGACTCAACATTTTTTTTCATTTTTGGTATTTTATTCTTAATTATGTCTAAAATATAAATATTGTGCTTCCAGTTTTACATAGATTGTATTTAGCACCTTCCAAACCTTTTTGGGGCAATATTGTTCCCTTCTCTTAATCAGTAACTATCAATTGTATCAACATATGGTATAAAAATAAGAAGAAAACTCCAGTTCTCAACACAAAAAGTAGAAGCCATGGAAGTTTGAGCCCAGACAAGCTTCTCTATTCACCAATGAAGGGCAATAGTGGCATATCTTGGCACTATTCTGCTTCCATCATCATCATATTCATGGCTGCTTCTTGAAATAAAATTTTATAATTCCAATTAATTTATTACATGAGTGATTTAATTTTTCAATTTTCAATACTTAATTGAAAAATATTACTTGTAATTAGCAAGTGCAAAAATTAAGTGTTATTTTTTTCACCTATGCAACTTTATCATTTTTTATAGTAATAGGCAAAAACATTGTTAAAAGAAAAGAAGATAAAGTCTACAACTTTAGTTTTTCTTCAACATGATAGTTAGATTATTGATGTGTTTCTCCTAAATATATAAATATGCATATCGTGAATATCTTTTGATGGGTGTATATAGTGTATATTTCCATGTGTTTGTGTTTCTATTCCTTTCCTGGGAGATGAGATCATAACCCTCACACCTGTCTTTTAAAACACCATACTATTATCAGAAAATGGCAATGGTTTTTGCTTTTGTTCTGTGACAATGTAACAAAGCAATTATACACCTTGTCTTTATGATAACATCAGGAGTTACTGAATTTATTGCTTGATGAAAAATAAGAACTGGATGGTTTGACCTTTTTTTCATGGCTCATGTTTAGAAGTGCAAAACAGAGTACACAGTTCAATTTCTATCCAACATTATATAGGCCGAGAATGTTGCTAACTGCTGAGTATAGACAACCAAAGAATTGATCAAAAAAAAAGTATAGACAACCAAAGATGAAATAAGGTACCTTGTGAGCTAGACCACTATGGAAAAGTTTCCCTGTTGTTCTAAGCTTCCAAGATACCATGCCACCAGTACCAATGCAAGGTTGTTTATCTGCAGTATCAATCCAAAACCTACATAGAGATAACAATGCACATGAATCATTATTAGACGAAATACCATAATATTAAACTTTTGATTCCATCTTTTCTCTTTTTCTAATTCTGGTAAAGGGAGTGTTTATTGCTTACAAAGGACCTTGTTTGAGCTTATTAAGCAACCCGTCTTTTACAATAGCATCAACACCGACCCCCAATATTGATGAGTTTTCTTCGTTCGCTATAAAGACCGCCACCACAGTTGACTTCAACTGCGGTTTTGTTTTCCCCAGCATCCGCATGAGTTCAGTTACAAGAGCCACATGCCCCAAACAATCAGTCGTTCCACGGCCACGAAGTTTGTCTCCATCAATGCTCAAAGAGAAAGGATCAAAATCCTGAAAACAGATGTTAAAAGTTCAATCCTGCTGTCTGATCAGCAGATAATTTACGTTATATGTTCATACTCCAAGAAATAAATCTGTCACTGATGTTGCAAAAAGAAAAAGAAAGCCATATTTCCCTTTATACACGAAGTATCTGTTAACAAGATGAAATAGGTAATTAAAAAAAAAAAGACAAAACCAGAAGCTTGAATCCAAGAAGAAACTTAAAAGGTTAATCATAGAAATAACAAAGGGCATAACTGAAGCATACTAAAGAGAAACCCAGAAAGAATCATGAAAGAAGAATAAAAAGAGAGAAGATAGCGAACCCAGTCATCAGGGTTGGCCGTGACAACGTCCATGTGACAGCCGACGAAGGACAGAATCTTCCCGGAAACGGTTCCCGGGTACTCGACGATAACGTTGCCTCTGCCTTGAACGTAAGTAACATGATTTACTATCAAGGGTCCTCCACCAGTAGTGGTGCTGTAAGGGAGGAGTGCATCCAAGACGTGCTTGGCCACCCTGTCCTCTTCTGGGATCAGCTCCGGTGGGTTGTTCTGAACGTATTTGGCCTCTCCGATGAGCTTAGAGAGGAGGGAGACGAACGAGTCTTTGTCGAGTTGACCCAGTACATCCTTCAAACCGGAAGAACCCATCATGGCCTCTGGGAAAAAGTTCTTTGGGAATTGCCTTGACAAGTTGAGATCAAATCCTCTGGATGGAAAGAACGATACTTATTCGAAGAGATGAAAAATACAAGTGGAATACAAGTGGGAACATTATATGGGGATTGGGGATATAATAAAATAATAAAATCATTAAATTGCACATTGGGTGCCATCAAACCATATGCTTTTGGCATCTGTATATATATACTAAATTATAATGATGCCACGAGATTTCTTCTTTTTTTTGGCAGAAGCCATGAGATTTCTTCATTACCCCCATTAGAGAATTCTCCTCTCATTTTAATCTTTCTTCCCATCTTACTAACTTACCTCATTACTCCCTTTTATTATAATGACCTCTTTCTTCTATCTCTATTCTTTTGGATATTTTTTGCTAAATTTTTTTATTAAAATTCAATTTAATTTAGTTAAAAAGCAATATTATCCTCTATTTTCTCCTAAAGATAAATTTTTTAAACTATCTTTATAGTTTAATTAATTGACTAAATTTATTATTATTATTTAAAAATTGACTTAAATTATTCTTACTATTTTTAATAATTGACTAATTCTACCTTTTATTACCTTTATTGTTAATTTTCATTAGTATTCCGTACAGAAACCTTATTGAAGTTGAAATTCTTTTAAAACCTAATATTACCCCTCCCTTTTCCCCTTCCTCTAACCGACACAGGAACCGATCTAACGCCTTTGACATGACCCGTCCTTTGCTTCCTATTTGCCATTGCCCACTTCGGTACTTTAATGGCAAAGGCTTCCAACCTAAGATAATGACAGAAAAAGGAGTCATGCAAGAAGCCATTAAAGCATCTTCTAAGCTTTCTGTTTTCCGTACTTTAATGGCGACTTGTTTGTGCTGTGGCGATCGCGGCAATCGTAAGGAGTTCAGATCTGTCCATTTCGTTCAAGGAGGCTCTTACTGGTCCTCGATTTCGCTCATGTCAGCCCCCACCTGATTCCGCTGTTTATTTAGCATTTCTTTAATCGAGTGCGTCTCTGTTCTTTGAATATGGTGGAATTCGTTTCATCAGCTTCTCATTTGCGGCTTTCGCTGCCGTATTATTTTGTTCTAGAAACCCTTTAAAGACAAAACCCCACCTTACACCTTTCAATCCGATCGAAAATTAAAAATTGAAAAAAAAGGAAAAAAAACCCGCAAAACCAATCCATCAAGCTATTAAGCAATCAAGCAAGCTCTGTAAGTCCATCGTTTTTTATACTTCTTAGTCTCTTACTCTGTTCATACTTTCCACTTCTCACTTCTCATTCGCTGGAATTTTGGATTTGTAGAGAAGGGCTTGAAATTGGCGATTTTGGAAGCATCAACGACTGCAACGGCTGAGAATTCTGAAGAGAATCAGAGAACTCAGAGCCATTGGTTCCTTGGTTACCGGACGAGATCGCCAAGCACTGTATTTTACATCGCTGCAAACATTGATGACCTACAAGCCGGTGCTGGTGGCTAAAATGCGCGCGGAGTTGGCGAGGTACACTAACGAGAGTTTTAAGGGTAAAACGGTCATTTTATATTTTTCATTCATGTTTAACGATCCTGCTAATGTTTAGACAATTGTCAATAACGGTAGCCTCAGTCAATTTTCAAACAGTAAGGGTAGTTTAAGAAATTTATTCTATTTATAATTCTTCTTTATCTCTTAAATTATCTTTAATTTAGTAAAATTTCTCTCTTAAATTAATTCTAAAAGTGTTTTTATAAAACTACTTTCATAAAAATGTTTTTATAAAACTATTTTTGTAAAAGTGCTTTTATAAAATTACTTCTGTATAGGGGTGAGCATTCGATTTATTCGATTAAAAATCGAACTGAATAAACCAAATTTTTTAAAACCGAAATAAAAAAATAAAAACCGAAATCGAAACTGAATTACAATAAAACCAAACTAACTGAATCAAAATTTTTCGGTTCAGTTTTTGGTTATTTCGGTTAAAAACCGAATTTAATTAATATATATAATATTATATATTATAACCTATAATATATATTATGAAATTTAATTTCATTATAATACATTTTATATAATATATTAATATATAAATATATAGCATATTATATATTAAATATTATATTGTATATTATATATTATATAATGAATTTTAGTTAATTCGGTTTTTTCGGTTAACTGAATTACCCAAAAACCAAAACCAAATTTTTCGGTTCGGTAATTCGGTTTTAATTGAATAATGTTCACCCCTACTTCTGTAAAAGTACTTTCATAAAAGTGTTTTCATAAAAGTACTTTTCATAAAAGTACTTTTATAAGTGCTTTTGTAAAAGTGTTAGTGCTTTCATAAAAAGTGATTTTATGCTGGCTTCAGTTTTGATTGATTTTAAATTGGGCAAGGGTTTGGCCTCATTATCGGATTATTGGAAATTCGACTTAGGTCCAATTCAAACCAATAAGAATATGGACCAATTTATTTTGGATTGGCCCAATCCAATAATCATAATGGACCATCTAAATCTGATTTTGATAAATGGATTGACACCCCTAGATTGAACAATATAAACCTAATTTATAGGTAAAAGTGATCAATTGTTTAATTTATTTAGTAATATTTATGATCAAAACAATGGAAAATGTCTAAAACTCACCACGAGTTTTCAACATTTCTCTTAAACTCACAACTTTTCAAAATGTCTAAAACTCACATTGTCAGAAAGGTTTTATTTTCCAAAACTCACCTGCTGTTAGTGCACCGTTAATGCTTCTTAACAAAGGTGTCTATGTTAGCATAAATAACAATATTTATGACCAAATTACCCTTGAATGGTGAATTAGAGGAAAAATGTTCTTTTTCTTTTTTTATTGCATTTTTAGTGTTTTGTTATAATTTCCAATATTTTTTATAATTTCTGTTTTTTTACATTTTTTCTATTTTCTACAATCTATAAATTTTTCTGTATTTTTTTATTTATTTGCAATTTTTGTGTTTTTATATAATTTTTGGTGTCTTTTCTACAATTTTTATTTTCTGATTTTGTTTTTCAATTTCTATAGTTTCTATAATTTGAAAATATTTTTTATTTTGTTTGCAATCTCTATAATTTTTTATATTTTTTGTAATTTCTATGTTTTATGTATTTTATATTTGAAAATATAATTTTTTATATTAACACACATTATTTATTTTGTATATATTTTATATTTTTCTATGAAGATTAAAATGGTAATATATTAACACCCATTAGTCTATTTAACGTCAAATTAGTGGCATGGTGAGTTTTAGACATTTTGAAAAGTTGTGGTGAGTTTAAGAGAAATGCTGAAAACTCATGGTGAGTTTTAGACAATTTATGGGTAAATGACTTACCAAAAAATGAATGGCCCCTTCCAATAATGAAATTTATAAGTAAAAGTGGTCAATTGTTTAATTTGGGCAATATTTATGACCAAAAGAATACGAGTAAATGAATTATCAAAAAGATGAAAAAAATGAAGGGGTCTAAATGGATGCTTTTTCTCAAACTAAAAACCTGAAATTATTGTTTCTTTAATGGTAAAATACTTAAACTACCTCTAAATTTTAAGAAATTAACTAAATTTGTCCTACTATTTAAAAATCCTTGAAGTACCCCTAAATTTTTTTGACAATTGACAAAATCCTCCATTGCTATTAGTGCCCCATTACAAATCCAGTTGCATGTGTTCCAGGTGACATATATATATATGTTAAATTTCAATTTTACCCTTTTGTGTTGAAAATATTTATTTTACCCTTCATTATTCGTTACATTTTCAATACATCTTTCCACACAAATAAGGAATCAATCATCTTCTCATTCTCTTTCCCTCCTTTAATCAGAAAAATCACCAACAACTACATGTTCGTCAAAGAAAATCATCAACAAACATAGCAAAAACATGTTTGATTCGAATCAAGATATCAACGTAGTTACGTGGTGAAGAGTGCTAGATTTTTGGCTCACAAAGAAAATAGTAAAGCCTTATTAAGTTGAATTAAATAAAAAACAGGTTTAGTAATTAATAAATTTGACAAACTCACAAACCTACAACAAAATATTAGAAAAATACAAAAACAATAAAAAATGCTAGTGAACTTTAGCAGAAACAGTTGCGGAAGAGCTTAGTTGTACCTTCCCTTAGCTTAATATTCATTAGCCTCATTGTCTCTTCCCAAGTAAGATGGTCAAACTCAATTATGTATGTTTAAGAAGCCAACTCATCTCTTCTTCAAGACTTCAACTACAATAATGAAGGAAAATTAAAATCAGAAGGAAATAAAAAATGAAGAATCTCTAGAACAATCTTGAAGAGAATATTAGACTGTTGGAAATACTCTTTTATGTTCCTGTTTCATTTTGTTAATTACATGGTTTTCAAAATCAGACTGGACCGGATGGTTGGACCGGAAAAACCGGAAATCTGACCAATTCCGTTTTTCCTTAAAACCGTTGATTTTGGTCAACAAACTACTGAATCAGCCAGTTAATCGTTTGAACCGTTTTGACCATTTTTCAAAATTTTAAAATTTTTTTATCAGAATGGGTCAATCATTCGAATCGAATGATCAGATCGTTTGAACCGGTAACCGGATCCCTGACCAGTTCGGTCACCGGTTTGATTTTAAAAACCATGGTTAATTAGTTTTTGGGGTATTAAATGAGATGTAATAGAATAATGAGTTATCTTTGGTCAGCCCCAATCTAAGAGGCCTAATGACAAGTTGATGAATAATCAGTATTTGCGTGTCCAATGATGCCTATGTCGAAATTTCAAGGGTTTGATTAGTCGTCGTTCATCAGCCTCTACTTGAAATTTTAGTAGAAAACCCCATTTTTACATGTGGGTCGCTCATTCTTCAAACAAAATTATAAGATTGGAGCAAGAGCAACACCTGGCAATCCCAAAATTATAAGACAAAATGCTGCTTATTCAAATGTTATCATTTTAAAAATTGAAGAAAAATGAAAGGTAAAATAACTTTTCCATCTTTCCATTAATGTTTGTTGACGATTGATTGTTAGAAAAGTTTGGGGTATTTAAGTGATTTTTCAAACAGCATCGTAAATTTTAGTCCATTTCCTAAAATCTTAGTTCAAGTATTTTACCCTTTATTTAATAGCAAAAACTTTGTTTTGGTGATTTGGTTTGAAATTTTATTTGCCCATATTACATTGAAAAAATAAGTAACTCCCATGCTATTATGTGCTGCTAAGAGATAGTGTTTTAAAAATTGGCTCGAAAGCCAAAATGTTTTTGCCTTCGGGCCATAGGTCACCGGTTTGACTATCCAGGTCTCTCTCTCTCTTTCTATATATATATATATATATATATATAAACATGTATTTTATCAATGTAAAATGTATAATTATATTTTTTAGATATAATATATGTATATATAAATATTATTTTATGTTTATTTTTTATTTTAAATTTTTATTTATAAAAAATGCTAAAAAGTGTGATTTGAGGCCAAAAAAAGGATTTTTTTTTTTTGCGAAAATAGCAAGGCAACATGCCTTGGGACACAAATATCAAACAGTTACCCAAAATTGAAAAAAAAAATCACCCGAGTTAGACATATGAGCACAACGTTATGGCCTCCGAAAGTTTGCACATACACTGAGTGCAACCTATGACATAATGGCCAGGTCAAATGAATCAACGATTGAACCACTTGGGTCAAACAATTTTTGACCATTGATCTGGTTTTTGACCAAGTGGTTGGTTTCATACAAACCAAACCCAAAATCCTGACCGAATGATGGTTCAAAGAATTCAACCAAACAAATCAGGCGGGTTGAAAACACTGCTAGACACGTGGCAACCATTTGATTGGGAACAAAGAACTGTTCAGAGTCCCAAAGGATCTAGCTTCAGAATTCACGGATGATATGATATTATCAATCAATAGACTATCATCATTTGTGCAATCTAATTGATTGAGCACATGTTCAATGCCCTAAACCCGTCTTCGTTATACTCATCAGGAAAAACCCACCTTCCATACTGGAAAAACCAAGAACCAATCAGGTGACAGTTTCCATTTTACCCCAGAACCGTTATTTCGCCAAAAACAGTTGATTTGATCAGCAAACTGGCCCAGGCGATCAAACCATTCAAACCATCCAACGGTTTTAGCCATTTTTTTATTTTTAACCATTCGGTTAGAATGATCAAATCATTTGACCCAAGAACCAGACCCTTGACCAGTTCGGTTTTGAACCTTGCCACCTTCATTATAGCTTCAGGAAAACCACTATGGACCTTTATCCCCTTAAAATTTGTCGTCCACTTCGGGCACAGGCTTCAACAGATTGTTCCTGTCAAACTTCGTTGATGATTTCTTCCCATTGTACAATTAAAAAAAAAATGATGATTCAAGCCTTCAAGGGTCGTCATTATGGATCCTTATCCCCTAAAAATTTGTCGCCAATGACTTCAGGCACAGACTTCAACAAATTGTTTCAATAGTTGCCCGATCCCTTTCCAAAATACATGATTGTTCGTTTGTTCCTGTCAAACTTGGTTGACGATTTCTTCCCATTGGACAAATTTTATAAAAAAAGAAGGGTTGATTGTTCAAGCCTTCAAGGGTTTTTCACTCTAGTATTTAATTAACAACTTTAACCATCGTTAAAAGTAACTTTGGATATAAATTACTAAAAAAAAATTGTGCAGTACACAGATGAAGTGAAAAATTACCAATGAAGAGATTATTAACGCTACAGCACTGGTATTGCTGACTTGACAGCTTCAAAACTTTGGCAGAAAGAACAAAATTTTGCACGAAGAATGAAGTCAGTGAATCAAATCACACTCATGAGAAGCATATAAATGAAAACCCACAAGTTTTTCCTAACGTGTCTGCCCCCAGTGGTATCCGGCGCCCTTAGGGATAGTATCCGGTGAATGTAAATCCTCTCCCCACAATCTCACCAGCGCAGTACCACGCGTAGCACTCTAATCCGAACAGAGCAGCAATTCCAGCATCCTCAACTTTTAGCTCCTGCCTGTTTTTCCAGAGTTGCTTGACACAGTCGAGTTCTTTCCAGAATGACTCGTAACGGCCAGGAATACTGTAAAATTTAAGCACAAAGTCAGATGGGTAGCACATTGTACTCGATGGAAGCCAAGAAAGTGCTTAGGATGTTTATAGCATAAAAATACAACATTTCCATCTATCTTAATTAAATTTAATGATTTCTCAATATCTGTTACAATCAAAAGTCAGTGAGTGGCAAATTAAGGGTCCATTTGGTTTGTAGGAATAGGGGTTTGGAATCAGAATCAGAGTGTCCAACCGTTTGGTTGGGCAGAATTGGAATCCCATTCCCACTCCTAGTAGAATGGCATTCCCCCATTTGAGGGGATGACCATTCCCACCCCCTCTTGGGAATGAGAGAATCTGTTGCAGCAGTCCAGCAGCTTCCGATTCCGGTCCGATTCCAATTCCCATCTAAACCAAACAGGTGGGAGGAATAGACCATACCAATTCAGATTCTAATGGATTTCAATTCTAATTCCGACTGCAAACCAAACAGACCCCAAGTACTCACTATAAAGGAGTTTAAGTCTAGACTCGCAATGGAACATATTGAGAGGCTGATTTGTGATGGCTGCTTTTGCTCCAAGAAGGCAACAGGTGGCTTGAGCTTGTATGGCCCCAAAGATGGGAGCAATAAAAATTTAAACTTTTATTTTTTGTTTCCTGGGAAAAACAGGTCCATCAGATATTTCATGGTCTTTAAGATCAATTGGCAAACATTGCCATAAGCTTCTTCGGATGAAATGAACTGATAGTGGAATTATCAAAAAACAAAGACTGGTTGTGGTACAGGACTGACAATTCATTGTCATCTAATCTTAACTCATTAAGGTGGACACCAAGACCAGCCAATAGCCTAGAAGATGAATTGGCAAGGAATAAGAAGAGATGACTTGATATGGGAGAACTAGCTATCAGCGTTAGGCTGTTGTACTAATAAAATTGCCATGGAATTTATGAACTAATAAAATTTCCATGATATGGAAGAACTAACCATCTAATCTTAACTCGGAATGTATGGATTTCTTTTCTTTTGTTACGGTAATAAAATTGCCATGGAATCAACAAAAATAACTCCCGACTGCCTAATAAATCCAATATGAAAAGTTGCTTTCATCATGGAATCAATAAAAAATGCCTTCCTGCCCTATATGAGCAGTTGCTTTCATCTTGAAATCAGCAAAAAATGCTTAGTCCTATATTATTATTATGACAATGCCACTGGAATATGCTCCCAATCTATGTATTCAATTCTTGGAATTATAAGGAGATTCATCTCCATAGACATCAACAACTTCTAATATAATATCCTGTACAAAGTTCATAATGATAGCAGACAGGAGGATATATAGTGGTTGACACTGAATCATGGCCTCATGTTGCAACTGCCATACAAACTATTACTGTATAGCAAGTGCAATAAGGGGAAAAGGAGAAAATAATGGGCCGAGAACTTGGAACCAAAGACGAATCAGAACAGGTTGCATCTTAAGTTGAATCTATAGCTGAAGAACTTTCACCAGTAGTAAGATTTCTCTCTGTAATTAGGCCTCGAGCTGGCTATGATAATATCAAATTTTTATCCATGACAAATATTTTTTTATCTATGGCTATATGTATTGCTCCACAGTATATCATTTTCCTTTGCCATAGTCCCAGGCTCTGTAGAAACTTCTTTCACTATAGGCATGTTAAGTTTCAGATTCTTCCATGTTTGCTTTGATAGTAAAATAATTGCAGACAGGAAAGGAGGTGGAATCCTTAATAGTTAATTTTGAGATGGGAAAGGGTTCGAAATGTTCCTAGTGTACGTCAAATGTCACAAGGAATATCAGCCCTAGTGGAGCAAATAGGTTTAATGTGGTTTAGGATAGGATGCTTTTAGAGTTGGATGATTTTATTCTAGGGAGAAAAATTCTTTCTACCTTTAGGACAAATCTTGTAGGCCAAAGGAAAAGAATCAAAGAACAATGTGGCAAAAAACCTTTTTTATCAATATACAGCAAGAAAAAAATCAGAGAAGAAGAACTTTAAATCATGATTCATCAAGCAACCAAGAAAGATTAAAGAGAAATAGGAAGAATATGCAAGAAAGTCGAGCAAGAACATAAATAATCAAGAATAGAGTCAAGAACTGGCGACTAGCCCAAATCAATCAAGAACAGTCCAAAACTCTAAGAAGAAGCAGAGATCAGGTCAGATGGCAAGAAATAGGAAAGAAGGCTTACATTTTAATCAAGGAGAATAGAGAAGAAAAAAGACTACAAGTGCAATAACATAAATCCTTGACTCTTAAACTTCAAATCTTAAATCATGATTCATCAAGCAACCAAGAAAGATTCAAGAGAAATAGGAAGAATATGCAAGAAAGTCAAGCAAGAACACAAATAATCAAGAATAGAGTCAAGAACTAGCCCAAATCAAACAAGAACAGTCAAAAAATCTATGAGAAAACAGAGATCAGGTCAGATAGCAAGAAATAGGAAAGAAGGCTTACATTTTAATCAAGGAGAATAGAGAAGAAAAAAAGAATACAAGTGCAATAACATAAATTCTTGAATCTTAAGCATCAAATCTTTGTTGCACAAATTGATCACTCTAGTTTTGATCAGACAATGTGCATGGAATTTGGAGCTTTATCTTATGACCATCTCACATGGTGCTGGGAGGACATCTTCTTTTATTCTTCCTTTGATGTATAAGAGGAATACCAGTGTTATAAAGCATCGACTAGTTGGTCAATGCTCATGGTTGGTTAACTAGGATGAATAAGCATCAACTAGGTTGACTCAGAGTTTCAAAAGTGCAAGGCACAAAGGTCATTTGGTATCTAGGTGCGGACCATTTTGAAGCAAGAAGCAGAATTTAAAAAAAATGCAAGTAAAAGAAAAACTAAAAATAAATGGGTAAATTTCTTAAACTACCCTTACTGTTTAGCTAATTGACAAACTGTACCCTACTGTTTAACTATTGTCTTGCACTACCCCTACTGTTTTCGACCACTGTCATCATCGTTAAACATTGACGGAAAAAAAGTAAAAAGTCAAATTTACCCTTCATTATGTCTCATATTTTCAAAATAAAATATCAAATTTAACCCAAGCCACCAAGGAGCCAATCAAGTACGGAGAACTCTGCATTTTCTTCTCGAAACAGAACTTGCATTTTCAATCAGACTCTCTCTCCGGCATGGGCACCGAACAACTCCCCGATCCTATCACCTGAGTTATCACACACACACGCACACACACAGATTAGGAAGATACTCGGTTCCTTTAAAGAAAATTAAAGCTATGAACCGGAAAGAAGATGTTTCTGAAGGTGGAGACGTCAAAGTGTTTATCAAAGAAAACAGTCACTGGTGGAAAAAATTGGAATCTTTATAAAGAAGCAGGAATGGCGGCACTTTACACACAGGTGGGAAATGCTAATCCAAGTGAAATCAATTTTTATTGCTTTGCAGGAATCCGCACCCCCTAACCCTCCAAAGAACAGCTCTAAAGAAACCAGTAATGATCGGTTTTTTTGTAAGAAAGAGGACCGAGCTGGGGACTCTCTCTCTCTCTCTCTCCATCTTCGTTATCCAGCTCCTGTCTCTCTTCATGTCAACACCATCACCGCTGCAACTTCAAGCGGCTGTGGCATTTTTTTGCTTGCTCCCTCAATCTCTCTCTCTCCCTCTCTACTCTGTCTCCCCCCCTCCTTTCGCCATTTCACTCATTCTCTGCAATATCATCTTCACAAACAAGCTCCCCCTTGTCCTTTCACTCATTTTGCAGTGGCATCTTCACGGACAAGCTCCCCCTTACACCATCGATGAAGGACAGAGAGGTTCCTACCAATCTGATGCCCAAATGCAAATCCAAGGGAAATTCCTCTCAGACAAGCTCCCCCTGCACCATCAACCGAAGACCTCTTCCCAGTTGCCAACTGTGATCCTTAACACTGCTGGGATAGAACGCACCATTTTTTTTTTTTGATAAATAGGATAGAACGCACCATTGAGCTGTTGGTTTTTTGACATTAACGGAAACATCTATGCTTGCATTTCAAAACCATTCAATTGAAATTTCTCTGGACCAATGCTTGTGAAAAATGAAAAATTAGAAGAAACCAAGCTATTTAGATCCACACCAAGGTTCCTGTTAATGTCCTGGAATGTGTTCTCTCATCTCTGAAACAACCAACAAAACCGATCTCTCTCTCTCTCTCCACACAAGTTAAATCAACTGTTGGCCGAAGCAGATAACCAGCAGAGCAACCTTCTCTCTCGCCGGATTCAGCATTTTAAGGGTTGCAGGGGTTTCAGGTCCGATGTAATCTCTGATCCATCATAGATCAGGTCCAATGTAATCTCTCCCATAAAGACAAAGAGAGGAATATTGGGTTTTAAAAAAGTTTTATTGGTCACGTGATGTCACATGTGTACGGATTTTGATGGAACATTAACAGATGCTGGCAGTAGGGATAGGACATAGTCAATTGCCAGAAACAGTAGGGTAAATGCAAGACAATAGTTAAACAGTAAGGGTGCAGTTTGTCAATTAACTAAACAGTAGGGGTAGTTTAAGAAATTTGCCCATAAACAGTAGGGGTAATGCAAGACAATCTTAAAATCATATTTATTAATTAAAAATGCAAACTTTAATTTTAAACTAAATATTTTAAAAATCTTATTAGCTCAAATTAAAATACATAACCATAAAACATATTTAAGTATGTCAAACTTTCAATTTCTTTATTTCTTTACTAATTGCACTATTTCAATAGATAATATGATGTTAAACATGTAGCCACTCTTATACCAAGCCCCTTGAGGTAAGCCCAAACAAATCCATGTTAGGGTCTTAAATTCATAATCCCTACAAAAAAATGGTTTTATCTTTTAGAAAATATCTTTTATTAGGAAAAATGAAATGAACAATGTTAGCAAATAGGGGGTTCTCGGAGCTATTTGTGGAATTCATCTTTCACAAAGGTGGCTCATCGACATATAGTGAATTGTAAGGGGTGTGCCTCTAGATAGTGTGATTTTCTTAGGAGACATTCTCAACCATAGAATTCAATAAAGCACAGAGAGTTCAACAAAGATTACTTACTGACCTGTAAGAGAGTACATTTACATAACAATAAAGATGAATTTAATCCATCCTTGTGGTTAATACTTTAATAATGTAAGGGGCTCTTAATGGTGCAGGGAGGTGTAAAAGGTTGCTGTTGGTATTTTTATTTCCTGGTTTTTCAATAAAATCTTATTCTTTGATTGCTAACTTTTCACTAAAATCTGATTTTGTTGATTAAAAAAATTAACCCATCCTTTTAGCTCTAACAGAAACCATAATAGAAAATCACAGAAAAAATGAGAGAGCTTGAAGTGGAGAGAGAGAGAGATAAAGATACATGGATTGATAGAGAAGAGGCAAGATATCAGGAAAAAAAAACTATTTTCAAATTTAGTTTTAATCATTACCAAAAAGTCACTTTAATAATCAAAATAACTTAAAACATGTATACCAATGCTCTCTATGGGATCAGGTAGCACTATTTTGGACATTTACCAAAATACCCATACATTATAAATAAAAGAAAAATAAATAAAAAAACTTTGGACTGACATTTTGACCTAAAAAAACTTAAAGGATTCCACAATTTAGCTTACCGTCCAACATAGTTGTCAAGGCGACGCCTAGGCGACAAGGCGCCCTTGGAGGCTCACCTCGCCCAGTCGCCTAGCAGTTTTGTGCATTGGGTTATGAAATACTTTTAGATTTTTTATTTTTTGACATTATAATTATAAATAGACATTATTAAACTAGAATATTCATTTTATGTGTTTATATACTAATTTCTTTTTATTAGTTTCTTATTTTGTTAGGGTTTAATCAATGCAAACATTGCTAACTGCTGTATTGAACCCATGGTTCACAGTATCGATACACCTCTGTGTATTGGCAAAGGTGTATTGGAACTTATAACGATACTCCCCCTACTTTTTTTATTTCTTTGGTTTTCAATTTCATTTTTAAATATATATATATATATTATTTAAAAAATGGGTCCCCGAAAACACCTGTAAACAGGTATCGGGACCCCAAAGATACAATACAATACACCCGATACAGGGCGTATCATATCAAAATTTTGATCCTTGATTGAACCCTCAAAATTTTCAAAACCTGAACCTATATAAGCAAGGGAAGAACTTAAAATTTTGTCTAATCAACACATTTTTTGAATTTTCTTTACTTTGTTCTTTTTCTTCTCATAAAATGTTGATTTTCTAGACTTAAACATGAATTTTATACTTTTCTTATGAAAATTATGAACAATTATTAAGGAAAGATGGTTATGGAACCTAGGGAACTACCCTAGGATCTAGGGTTTTACTTAAAAAAATCCATCGCCTAGGCGTGTTGCCTAGGCAAGGCACCCCCCTGTCACCTAGCCTCGCCTTGGCGCCTTGAAAACTATGCTGTCCATATCATCACTTCTTTGAAAGGCATTGATGACACTATGCAAGAGTAAGATTTCATATCACAAAATGCAAATTTATTGTGGTTATATACAGATAAGACACACATAGATATAAGTACCATAGAATACGCAGTCCATAACATGTCAGTTTACCAACCTGATCATAAATATGTATATCACTAGAAAAGTTGAATGTCAAAACAGAAAGTATCAGTGTTTGGATGTTCAATGAAATGGATAAAAATGGTTATAAGAAAAATTTGTATCTACCTTAAGACTTAAGAGTAGAAGAATGGATCTGTAATGGGTTAAGAAATACAACTGAACACCTTACGAAAACAAAACAAATAATAAAAAAAAAATGAATGTAACTAAATAGTACCTGAAACAATGAACATAAAATGCGATTATTTGCTTTGTCTTCTTTAAGATCATATAGCAAAACATGAAACACTCAAATGACTAAAAAGTTATTCAAAAAATGCTTTTGTAAGTAGGTTGTTATGAGAACGCTGGAATTATATCCAAGATCATACAACTGCTCATAAATCATAATACAAATCAGGACATCCACATATTCATAAAATATGAATGGAGTGAATCAAAGAATTAATGAAGCAACACAAGGATCATGAAAGGGATCACTAAATTTCATATACCACATTTGAAGACATCAATGCTATAGTAAGCCATAAGATAGTAATGAAAATAAAGAAAACAAGAAGCAGAGACATTCAAATTATTAATTGGGCCTAACATGACCAAATACAATCAACGAAGAAAAGATGGAGGTAAAAGCTAGACATATTATAAAAAGAGATTAACCTAGCAAGACGAGTATAAAAGAGTTGTTTCGAAAGGAGGTTGCATTTCTCCACAGTAGGTGGTTCAACAACATATTGCTTGTTCTTTTCCATCAATTGCTTGTAGTAGGAACATCCATGCTTGGCGACAAACTGTGATGCCTGACAAGCCTTAGCTTGCAATTGATGCAACTTTGATGCCATGAACTTCCTAAATCACACCCAACAAAACAAATAAAAGAATTTAATCACTATAATACCAGTTTATCACTATCTCAGGACCAAAAATAGAGGTGATCCAGGAACAACAATTTCTACAAATTATAACGTACAGAGTCAGAGACATCAATCTTACATGGAAACCGTGCAATCATAACAGATAAAGGCCTTAAATATACTCTTCAGTGAGGAAACTAAAAATATCCCTGAATTAATGTAACTTATATGGAAGTATAAACTTAGTTACCAAAAAAAATGCCTCCTAAGAAGATATGACCAACATTTTCCTACAACATTCCATACCTCCCAAAAACATGAAAAGTCAGACCGAAATTATTTGAAATAGAAACCTGAAATGAAAATATAGTTCGTCTTTTTGACATATCTTAAAAATAAAATACACCCCGGCCAGTTTTAGGGGTAAAACTGAAACCTAAAAATAAATAAAACTGAGCTCTTTGAAAGCAGAATCGTGGAATAATAATTTATTAGATTAAATGGGAAGATAATCTTCCTACGTGAATCCGTATTATGATTTATTCTTAGGTGACAACCTATCAACATTTATTCTATCAATGTTGACATAGCCAGGTAATCAACAACATTGTGAGGTAGAGAGTTCCAATGACTGTATCAAAATTCCAATTTGAAAGAAAATCGTGGGAAATCTTCAAAGGAGAAGCAAAGAACCAGAGAAAGAACACCAAGAAAACAAGAGGAAAAATCGATCGAAAACAAAGAGAGATCTGCGAGAAAATTCAGCAGATGGATCTTCGATGTTGAATCCAAAGGCCAACTTATCAGTCCTAAATCCCAACAAACAACTGTCAAATCCCAGAAAATTGGAGAGGGAAAAACATTTGTCTAGAAAGACAGGATCTTTGACCCAAATAGCAAACCGGAGAAAAAGGAAAAAGAAAGAAAATGCGAGAGATCCACCAGCAAAAGGGCTTCAAGTTTTCATTCAAAAACCAATATCATCGTATTACTAAGGATTCTAAACAAGCAACAGTGAAGTTTCAGCCTAAGAACATAAAGAAACAGAGAGATTTCAAGACCGCAGAACCTCAGATTAATACCAATAATTGAAGAAAGAAGCAAGGGAAGAGAGATATCAAGGAGATAGTAAGCATATATTGTTTAGAAAAAAAAAAACGAATAAGCATATATCTAGTAAGCATTCGAACCTCTCACAGCACGAGACGCGAAGAAGACCCGATCTGTACAGCACTGACGGCGATTTTCTGTTCCAACACAAAAACAAAATGAGGAGTCTTCGGTTCGAGGATGAGAAGAAGAAGATGAACAAAGAGATAGAAAAAGAGATCGATGGAGGAAATGGGCGAGAAGTACCAGAGTCTTCGTTCAGTGCGGCGCTAGCGAGTAGCGATGGAGGAACCAACGTTAGAATGGAGGAGAGGAATGCTATGCATACGGGTTAGTCAAAGCCGTCTTTAAATACGGTGCGTTGAACACCGATATCTAGTTCATCATGTAAGCCGGAGACGGTATTCGAGCATCCGTAATCAAAGACGAATTTGGCTAACCGTATGGCCAGAATTCCTAAAGTAGAGGAGAAGACGTTAGACAGGCAGAACCCTAACTCACGTGACAAGTCTACCACGTTTTCCTTGGAATGAGTAACTGAGCCTTGACATCTTTGCTTGAAGTTGAAAAATGTTGTTCAGTTCATTCCAAGCCACAACATGGTAAAAGTAAGCATTCATTTGAGACAGCATAATTCAGTCCGGATTGAATTGGGCCATATTCCAATTTTTCCTTAGACTGCGTTTGGTAGAGGTGTAAAATTGAATGGGGTAAATTTTACACGCGATACGATTTTGCAAATATTTGGTAAATATATTTTACATCGAAAATCGGTGTAAAATTATATATTTACTGTTAATTACATTGATAATTGATGTATCGATGTATTTATTACATCACTCGCTCTCTCTCTCTTCTCCTTCTCTCTTCTTCTTCTTCTTCTTCTCCTTCTCTCTCTCTCTCTCTCTCTCTCTCTCTCTCTCTCTTCTCCTTCTCTCCTAATAGCAGGTGGTGTCTATCAGCAGCATCAGAGTAAATCTAGATGGGCATTCTCTGCTTAGGCGTTCTCCTTCACCGTTGCCACCTCCAACGGGGTTTGATTGGGGGAACTTGGAGGCCAATTCAGATGGGTGTTTTCCTTCACTGCCACCACCTTCGACGAGGTTTGATTGGGGGAACTTGGAGGCTGACTCAGATGGGTATTATCTGCTTCTAGGCGTTTTGCTCCTCCATGGCTGCAACATCTCGTCGTTCCTGGGCGTTTTGCTCCTCCATGGCTGCAACATCTCGTCGTTCCTGGGCGTTTTGCTCCTCCATGGTTGCAACATCTCGTCGTTCCTGGGTGTTTTGCTTCCGTTGGTGTCTCTATCCTTTTGCCCCTTCTCTCTTCTGAGCTTTTGAGAAGGGGGATCTTTACACCCTGGTTTCACCCTTATCCCTCTCTCTCTCCCTCTCTAATAAATCTCCCACTACAACAAGATATAACCAAAATGGACGAGTGTAAATGGGCACAATGGTCGGTCCATATTTTACATTCTCACTGAACCATTGTTTCTCAACTTCATCAGTATAAAAGTGCATTTACACCGAAAACAAATGCAGCCTTAGGCTTAGTTCGAAAGCAATACAAATGCAAATATATAGAGTGCAAAACCTTATATTTTGTATTATTTTATATGTATTTGCATTTGTGCTCTTTCCAAAGTGAGTTGCAATTATTTGGGATCGGATTAGCTAGAGAAAAGAACATATACACCCTAGCTGAACTACCTATCACGGTTGAACACGCCAATGTTCAGTACAACTGGGTCCTAAATGGGGCCCATAGTGAGCATTAATGTGTTCAACCGTGATAGGTAGTTCAGCTAGGTATATATTATTTTGTCTCCAGCTTATCCGGACTGCAATTATTTATATAAAGTTTTGCAATAAATTTGTAAGGTACTTTATATAAAGTTTTGTTTGACATATTCACACTATCCACACAATGATGTATAGAAATGTTTTTGCAAATTGCAAAGCATGTTGCGGTCTCAACAACTCCACAATAGGACCCAAATTGAAACGCTCTACGTTTTATTGAACCACAACAGCGAACAACCCCCTAAATAGAACAGAATGACAATAGGATTTATACAATTGGTCCTCCAGGGACAAGGCTTGAGATAATTATATTATATTTAGCAATAATTTTACAATAGACCACCCCTCATCATCATCTTCTATCTTCCCTTTCTCACATATAGACATATTTATGACTTTATGAGTTAAGATCTACTACAAACACAAATGTGTGTAACGAGCTAGTAACCAATAACAGGTCACACATTGTAAGTAGGGGTTAACATTCAGTTTATTCGATTAAAAACTGAACTTAAATTGAATTTAGCTAAAGTCAAAAAGACTGAACTGAAAATTTTGTTTAAAACCAAATTTCATTATATTTATTCAATATATTGATATATAAATATATATTATATGAATATATTCATACATATAATATTATATATTATATTATAGGGTAAATTATAAAGACCCCCTATACTATGAGGTCAGTGACAAATACCCCCTTTATTAGAGTTCTCTCAATTAACTTTGAAAAAGATTCTCATTCAGGTATTTATTTTTTAAATCCCTAAATTACCCTTTTTCTTGTTTATTTGAACAATTTATGATTTGATTAATTTTCTAAATATAATATTGAAATCCTCTTGATTGCTCTAATAGATCCTTAAAGATTTTTTACTGGATTCAATATTAAGATGAAATGGTAGAGGTTTCTTTCTAATAAATATAAAGGCATGTGCATTAAGCGAAAAATAAAAGAGTAAAAAGATGAAAAGGCATTTAGATCTTGAAAAATCTTTTTATTTTACTTCTTTAAAAAGTTTTACTTTGGTGATTGGATTTAAAGATTAAAATATTTAAATAATTATCGTTGTAAGCATTGACATTATATTATGCCACTAAAAAAAATTAATTTAATTTTGGGAAACTGACGAAAACTCACAATGACTTTTAGCATTTCTCTTAAACTCGCCATAACTTTTCAAAATGTCTAGGGAACCCCATGTTAGTAACTTGACGTTAGACAGACTGATGGAGCGCCGGTTCAGCCTTAGAGAGGAATCCCTATTGTCAACCGGTCCTCCAACCGGTTCTACACCCTATGTTACCCGGCGCCGGATGATGTCTTGAAGAGGGGACTCGAATCTCTGTCATGAATCGGTTCTACGACCGGTCCTGGTCTGTTTGTGACCTGGCACCGGTTCATGACTGGTTATTGATATCTTGCTGATTTATTTACTTATTTTGGTTATTTAATATTTATAAGTTTGCCATTATTTTGGTACATTATAAATACTTTATGTTTTAGGGTTTGTAATGAACTTTTTATCAATTATTCAAGCTGTGTGCTTAATTCTCTTTGTGAGTGTTATTTGGTTTCTGGATTGAAACTTGATCTTGAGATTTGTTCATGTGACAATCTCTGTTATCGCATTACACGCTGCGCCAGGTGGTATTAGAGCGGGAGTTCGCCCAATCAGATGGCTAACCAAGATGGTAGTGGTGGCAATCAACCTCGTGACGAAGATCAGGGGTTACAAGCTGTTTGGAGAGCAATCGAAGAGCAGCAAACAACAACTCGTAATATTGAACAACAGTTGACAGAGATCGCTGGACAACTACGGACTATGTTGCGATAAGATGTTCCAAGGAATGGGAATAATGCATTGAATCAAGCCGGAGAAGATAACCACGGTAGGCCAATCATTGATCATATACCTCAATTACCTAGGAGACCTATTATTGATGATGATTTAGAGTTTGGTGTTGCTCCAGCTAATCCTGGTGTTGGTAGGATTGGTAGGAATTGGCAATATCAGGGTATTCTTAATCACAATAGGAATGATGATGAGTTTAAACTAAAAGTGGATATCCCTACTTTTAGTGGAGATCTGGATATAGAGGGTCTTCTAGATTGGATTACCAAGGTAGATCGTTTCTTTGAGTATATGGAGATCCCTGAAGAGAGAAGGGTGAAGTTAGTAGCTTTTCGATTGAAGGGAGGAGCATCTGTTTGGTGGGAACGAATGAGGGAGACTCGGATTAGAGAAGGAAGAGGTCCGGTTCGAACATGGAGACGTATGAACAATTATTAAGAGGTAGATTTTTGCCTCCTGATTATGAACAATATATGTTTGAATCGTATCAAAGATGTGCACAGGGAATGAGGAGTGTGAATGAATACACCTCAAAATTTCTGAGATTGATCGAGAGAAACCAATTGTCAGAAAGTGATAATCAACAAGCAGCTCGTTATTTGAGTGGTTTGAAGCCTGCTATTCGAGACAAGATTGGAGTCCAGATGGTTATGAGTGTGCAGGAAGCGAGGAACTTAGCTTTGAAGGTTGAGTTAATGTTTCAAGAGAGGACTCGAGCTGATAATTATCGACGGTATAGTGGGAATGACAATAGGCAAGCAGTTGTTGATAAGGGCAAGCCAACTCAAGGGGTGCAACCTTCCAACTCGCCTAATGTAGCTAACACCAATAAGGCTACAACGGGAGGAAACACTCAAGGTAACACTTCAAACCCTCCTAAAAACACTAATCCTTATGCAAAACCTGTTCCTTTTAAGTGTTTCAAGTGTAATGAGGTTGGGCATAGGTCTAGTGATTGTCCCAAGAGAAAAGAAGTTAATATAGTAGAAAGGGAGGAGGAAGAAGTTTGTGATAATGAAGTGTATTGTGGACCTGATGGAGAGGACGAAGGAGGTGATTATGAACATGAGGAGTACACGTGTGTTGTGAGGAAGCTTATGTTATCTTAGAAAAATGGGGATGACACACAACGACACAGGTTGTTTCATACTAGGTGTACGGTGCAAGGTCAATTATTTGAATTGATTATTGATAGTGGCAGCCAGAAGAACATTATTGGCAGAGATGTGGTGAAGAAGCTGCAACTAACTCCTGAGAAACACCCGAATCCTTACACAATTGGGTGGATCAAAGAAGTTGGTGGCGTACATGTGGATGAACGCTGCAAGATTCCATTTTCTATTGGTAAGTATACTGATGAGATTTATTGTGATATTGTGGATATGAATGCTTGCCATATTTTGTTTGGTAGACTTTGGCAGTTTGATGTAGATGCTAAACACTTGGGTAGGAATAATACATACCAGCTTGAGAAAGAGGGTGTGCGCTATACAGTGTTGCCTATGGTGGTAAAGAACCAAACCAAAGCTTCAAAAGTGGAGGGGAGGAACTTTCTTACCATAACACATCAACACATAAGGGAGTGTAAAGATACCCGAGAGGTTCACTTGTTGGTTATAAAGGAGGAGAGTGTGAGTGAACCACTAGAAGTGAATAAAATTCTAGTGGAGGTGCAAGGATTGCTTGAAGAATTTCATGATGTAGTTCCTGAAGATTTTCCTAATGAGCTACCTCCTATGCGAGACA